TCTGACTGTAACACCCCTTAAATAAAAAGTTAAGTTCTGCTTGGTGTTATAAAGCACTAAATAACAGAAATGGTGTTGAGCAGCCCTGGTCCCACACATGATGCTAAACACAGCACCGAGTTTCTCAACACATACAGTAGGGAAGCAGTACATTTATCTTCTCTGCTATAAACCACATTTGGAGGGGTATGGCAAAATTTCCAATGCAGAGAAAGACAGCTCTACATCAAGTGCCATTAGCTGACAAAATCATTAGACTTTAAGCAATGTGTTGCCTACTGCATACCTGCTAAGCATTTCCTATTTTGCATTGAGGTGGGAGCAGAGACCAGTCCCCTCCTGGCTCCATCCTCCTGTCAGGCAGTTGTAGGGAGCAATAAGGTCCCCCTGAGCCTTCTCTTCTCGAGACTGAGCCCCCCAGGTCCCTCAGCCATTCCCTATCACACTTGTGCTCCAGGCCCTGCACCAGCTCCATTGCCCTTCACTGGCCCCACTCCAGCACCTCAATGTCTCTCTTGTAGTGAGGGACCCACAGCTGAACACAGGATTTGAGGTGCAGCCTCGCCAGTGCCCAGCACAGGGGGACAATCACTGCCCTGGTCCTTCTGGTCACAGCAGCACTGATACAGGCCAGGATGCATCACATTAAAAAACCCAATCAACTCTGTATTTGGATTTATTAATTCAAATCTGTGAAACAGGCAGCTGGACCAACATCTACGATCAGAAACTAAACAAAGGTACAACCTGCAGCCCCCCAAAACAGGCTACAAGATCCACTTTAGTGCAGTAACAACACAAAATCAACCAACACGTGCCTCCTCAAGCTGACAGCAGATGACACAGTCCCAGCAGTCAGGCACACAGCCTTGCCTTCATTATTTTCACCAGAAAAAAAGGTATTTATAACACTCAGAAGCAGTCAAAAAGAAAGGGAACCTGAGCTGGCAGGCGTTTTCCAAGCACATGTGATGCTGCATACCTGAAGAGCTGCTCCCCCCCTCCTTCAGGGAGGAACACTAATGAGGATGCTTCTGCACTGCACTGGGCAGTGTTAATTAATAGCTGTCAGCCTGTGCAAGGGGCAGGGTTAGTATTAGGGAAAGGCAAAGGAAATAGGCCATGTCAGTGGGAACATTATACAGTCAGGCTGCACTGGCTGGTTTAAAACCCATAGTTACAGCAGGAAACAGCACTGTATTCTAACAGTAGAGAGCTGGAGCTGATTGTCAGGGACAAGCAAATTAATGGTTCCTATTTGCCTTAATGGTTTCATGGAAAAGGAGCCAATTCATAAACTACAGGCAAACAGATGAACTTCTGCAGGTTTTGCTGGGGAAACAAATTCAAAACAAACAGAAGTTATTTTTTTGGGTACTTATCGTGATCATAAGAACATTTGTCAGCTAGTGATACAACACAGAGGTCTCAGAGTGGGTTCTCCCACCCAACCATAGACACCAAGCTCATTACGTGTTTGCCTTCGGTAAAGTCAGGTTAGAATCCCGCATTTCCTGATCGAAACACACAGCATTAGGAGACAAGGGAGGTCCTCAGGGTTCTGAATTGCCTTCAGGTCTTTCAGAGCAGGTACAAAGCACCAAGGACCTGAATCTCCTTCTGGCAGTGCCTCTGCTTCTCCATGTGCTGCAGGGAGCCTGGGGTCACTATGGTCTTAGTGTAGGCAGCCCAGATAAGTGTCTAAACTTCAGCTGAGCTAATCCCCTTTCCTCTTTCATGGCCAGGCTTTGAGCAAGCTCCTAAACTTGAGGAATTCTCAGCAGGGGCAGTCTTACAGACTGTGTTTACCAACAGAGCTCAACACTGGGCAGCATTCCTTGTAGATCAGAAGAAGCTTGGACACACTTTGGAGCCCAGGCATCCTTTAGAGAGGCTGTGCTCTGCATTACTGCCCTCAGCTGACTTCCCCATGGAGACTTTAAGTAGCTGCAGCTTCTCTTCCTCTGCTCCTGAGGATGCTGTTGGGGCTGTACCACTTGTCCTCCTTTAAGCAGACAAGGATTTGTGAGAGGCAATATATATGGGGTGGGAATCCTGCCATCACAGGCTTTCAAGTGTCACATAGGACTCGGTATGTAGCCAAGCAGTACTCATCTATTCATCCAAATTGAAGGCCCTTTGAGCAGTTGACAGCTGCTTTTCAGCTTTATGTTTGTGTGCAGCATCTCCGGTCTCTAATAAACCATTCAGGCCAATACTTGTGCAGAAAGGCATAGAGAGCATGGCACATATAAGTAAAATTAAGGTGCAACAATGTCCTTAGGAGGTCAGCATTCATGCTGCTGGATCAAGGGCGGGTTTAAACAAACGCAAAGGCAAGTTGAGACTCGGATCTATAGCACACATGGAGCTGGTGCCAGGCCCTTATATCCATTGGCTAAGACTGCCCACTGCAGCAGTGATTTTGGCTTATTTTCTTCTTTTGAGAAGCACTCATTCTTCAACGCTTCCAGCAGCCCTTCAGCAGGCAGAAACCCCAGAGGTTACAGCTGGGCTTCGGGCTTGTTCCAAAACCTCCTCTTGGTTGAAACTAAATTACAATGCTTTGTAAAACTGGAATATCCTCTTGTCTGCGTCCCACACAAAACCCAAAGGGACATGCCAAGAAACCCAAAAGACTAAAACCAAACAAGCACATTCCAAAATAACCCTATCTGCTATGAAGCAGCAGCACATGCTGTTCCAGGAATATCCTGAAGCTGCTGAGCAGCTGTAATTGTGGAAGAGCAGAGTCAAGCCATTCTTTCCAAGTTCCCCTATGGCAGAAATCATGGAACGGTTTGGGTTTGGAAGGGACGTTAAACCTCATCCAGTCCCAACCGCTTCCATGGGCAGGGACAGCTTCCACTAGAGCAGGATGCTCCAAGCCCCATCCAACCTGGCCTTCATGATAATAAATACGCTCTCTCTGTCCACCCTTCACCCCCAAAGAACAGATCAGCTTTGGAGAGCTCTTTCAGGATGCAGAGAGCACAGGACCAGGGATAGACGCAGCCAGAGAACCTCTTTAGGTCCAGCATGTGGACTCCAGCCATCTTTTTCTTGATGATGGTAGCTAGAAATGTATTGCCATAAAGATTTAGAAAGCCTTTTTGCTTTAATAACTTGAAAGCCACATTAAGAAGTCTGTCATTAAGGCACAGCTTCCTCTCAACTCCTCAAGCATGCGAATACATCTGAATCATTACAGTTGACAGTGAGAATCTTATTTTGGCTCCCCTGTTAATGGATCATAACAATGTGTAACCACACAATTACATACCATTTCTTCACTGGTATACAAAATGCACATGTAGGGGGTCAGAATTCGGGTTGCACAGGTAACCACAAAACTGGCATTTTCCAACTTTGAGTTCTTGTTTTCCAATCTAAATAACACTTTTAGGGCAGTGGATTTCTATACATAATTATATAGAGCGCACTAGTACCATCGTGAATGGGGACCCCATTGAGCTAGCATTATATAAACGTACAGGAGATATGTTAGACAGGAGATGGCTGTCTTGAAATACAGAGGGGCACTTTCAACCTCTCCCAGCACTACCACTCTTCAGTCATGACTCAGTGACAGCACGTGGTGGGATTTTGCAGCGTGTGTTTTTATTGCTCTGAAGGTTCTTTGTGCAGAAAACCTCATGCTGATCTGTTAGTCATCCTGACTGAAATTGCTTCATTTGCCAGTGCAAATGATCGTAGAGTTCTTTAGGTTGGAAAAGATGTTCAAGGTCATCAAGGCCAACCGTTCACCCAGCACTGACAGCTCCACCACTAAACCATGTCCCTAAGCACCACCTATACAGCTTTCAAATCCCTCCAGGGATGGTGACTCCAACACTGCCCTGAGCAGCCTGTTGAGATCTGTACCCACTAACCTGAGCATTTCTTGTAGTGCTGCTGAGAAAGAGACAAATACGATGACAGAGTGTTTGCTATGGAAACACAGCGATGTGTCATAGCCATAATAGCCCTGAGGTCACAGAACTTCCATCAGAAGAACATGCTTGTTAGAGAGCTGCCATACGAATGCTTCCAGGAAGCGGCTTCCTCAAAGAGTAGCACATGAAGAGAGAGGGAAGGCAAGTTGTGAACTAGATGAAAATCATCAAAGTAACAGCAGCTTTAGGGTTTGTTGTACAAGTCAGCCTGCACAACTGGGTCGGTGTAGTGCGAAGAGCACATCACAAAGTGATGCCATGTGGACAACAATGAACCTGACATGACATTTATTAGCAGTGGATAATGCATCTGTATTGCTGCGTTCTTCTAGAAAGGAAATTGGGGTGACACCAGAGGAGCTTAAGTGTGCCTGTTTTGAGACTCTTTGCATTTATGATGAAAGAAATACTGGTTAGCAGTACTGGAGATTCACATAGAGCTAAGAACAGCCAGAAGGAAGAAGACTTACAAGAAGAAAGGTGGCCATGGGGGTAGGATTACTTACAACTCACCAGATCTGGAATTTTTGTCTCTTTGTATCTCAGTTCCCTACCTGAAGTACTCATTAAATACACAAGTTTAGTTCCCTACCTGAAGTACTCATTGAATACACAAGCTTTTTCAACACAGATCTAGAAAAGCATGTAAGTAAACAGGCAAAGCCAGATAGCTTGTTTAAGGACAGATGGATAGCACCTTAATCTTCAACAAATATACCAAAGTTGTTTAATGTCTATACCACACTAAGCTCCTGATCTCAGTAGCTCTGGATGTAAATCCAGCAGAATTCTAATGAGGCTGTAGCGGTTTAGTGCAGACCAGAAACATCCTTAATTTTTCATGTTCTGTTAAGGAAAAAGGCAAAGGGCAAACAGAACACAATTCATATTGACACTGGGAGCTGGGAGTCCAAAGGGCTGAATCAGCTCTGGCGTTCCAGTGCATGCCAGTGCCACCTGACAGGGTTGATCGGTCATCAGGTCAGTGTGTGTGCAGTGGCACCGATTCCAGCTACACAGAGAACATCAGACTCATCTTAGTACCTGCTCCATGAAATCCTCCACAGAGGTAGAGCTTCCCTTCCACGGCGCCAGCACTGGTGGAGTTTGTCCGTAAGGAGAGGAGGGGATACGGCATTGGAGGTCCATCCCTCCAGAAGTCTCCATCAGGGTTATAAATCTCCACTGCATCAAGGCATTTCCGCGTCTGTCCTCTGTCGCGACCGAGGCATCCGATTCCTCCTGCAAAAGACACACAGGTCAAATACAGTGGTCCCAGGCTCTGCTGAAAGAGACATTGCTGGCAGCATCACTTCTGTGTGCATGTCCTCATCTCCCTCCCTTCCTTTTCCCTTTTGCAGCTCCAGAAGCTTGTGAGAAAGTAAACTCAAAGCAGAAGGTGCTGCACGTTATCTACAGGCATCGAAGCAAGATCCTCGCTGAAGCCTTGTACCAAAGGAAGGGCAAGCAACATGTCTTCAAAATGCAAAGGTATTTTGTCTTGTTCTCTACCTATATAGGAGAAACTGCATGACCACTTGTTCTGGGTGCTGGACAAATTGCTTTAGCATTTACTTGCAATGGATCAAAACATATTTTCTAAGTACTGATAGTGGATTTCACCCAACAACCACCTGTGTTTGTTCCTTACTTGCCTTCAATAAAAGAAAAATGATTACCCCCATTTCTGAAGGGAAATCGGCTTCCAGAAACAAACCCATCCAATGTGCAGGAACAACAGCTGAGTTACTTGTGAGGAGCCCTGCTGCTGAAGGGTGAATCAGGATGCTCAAAGTCTGTGGGCAGGATTAAAACAGATCCCAGGTTTCATTTGCTGGGACACCCCGCAACAGGCTGCAGGCACACCTGAGATCTCAGTGAACGCTGAAAGCACCTCACACTGGAATCAGTGTGAATGCTGCCTTTCCAAATCCTTTCCTGTGATCAAATCCAGCTTTGGAATTCACAGCCCCTGCTTCTCAAGAATTAACAAGAATGGACACAATACCCTGTAATGAGCACTGCTGGCTTGCTGAAGCAGTTCTTTTGTGCATGTGTGTGTGACCACTTTTAGATCTAAAATGACTGCAACACACAAGCAGTTTCCACATGGAGCTTTGCTTCCCAGATACGCGTGTAGGAGCTCTCACTTGTGCAAATCTAAAATGCATTATATGGCATGTAATTATGCCTTTTCATATACAAATGGAAGAGCTGCAAGTGTAACCTCTGTAAGGCCGGTGCAGCTGCTTTAAAATCTATTGCCCTTCGTGCTGTGAGGCTGATCTGCAAGATAAATGAGCCCCTGGTGCTACAGGCTTTACTTGCATGGGGATTTCCATCTACCTTCTAATATGGGCTGTATTTCTTCAACCTTATCTGCATTCTCCAGAGGTATTTGCAAGAGGCAACTGCATGTAAATGTGGACCACAATGCTCCAGATTTGCCATCACTGTATTCCTGATCTGTGTTTTAGAGTTGGGTAAAAATAAAAGCAGTTATCCCTGCATCAGAGCATAAAAAACCAGAAGCAAATTCGCTGTCCATTATCACCAGCAGGAAGCTTTCCTCCCGCTGAAGTTAACAGCATTTGGTTCAGTTCAATATTTGAACCTCAAAACCTTCACTGGGTTTGGTTTCCAGCTCCTTTTCCATGCACAGCAATTCTTTACTTGCCCTAATACCTACCAGCAAGGTCCTAGCAGTTTGCATTAGGTTCTCCTGTGGGTACTTAAACAAGTTCTCATTACTAGCTCAACACCCCCAGCTAAGCAGCATTTGCTCTTATGGGCTCCTCCTTTGAGGTTGGATTCTCCTCAGAGAACTGAGGAGAGCAATAGTTGTGCTCAGGGAATTATGCTAATCATTTCCATGGCCAAAAGGGAGCTGTGTGCATCCCCATGCTGAGCCTTTCTTGCAGCAAACTCTCACTAAACTATTCCTTACGACTGTTTAGAAACAAGAATAACATTCAGATCTAGACCTATTAGTTATTGTATTGCACTCAGACTTTAACCATTACTGTTTATGCCAGGAGCGCTATCCTCTTCTAGGCAGTGTTCTCCACCACTCCTTAATGGGCTGTAAGAGAGATGCCCCTTTCAGGACAGGAGACTGCCCTTGAATTCCCCTAAATTAACCAAGACATTTTAAAGGGCTAATCAGAGTTTCTGACTGAGAAGGCAATATATTGCTTATCACAACCTTTCTGATTCCACAACATCTTTGGTAAAATCACAGCAAGGCAGTTTGCTGCCAGGGTGTGGGCACTCTACCCAGTGCAGTGTAATGTAGAAAATGATACTCGGGCAGTTTTAACTGGGAACCAATAATACCAAAGCTCCCAACAGATGAATTTGATTGTTCAAAAGACAGTTCTGTGGTGCCAAAGACAGGCTGTTGCTGGTTATCAAGCCATCCTATTTTACATTAGCCCAGGTGTTGCTGTACACCACGAGGAACATGCACTCACCCCTAAGAAAACTCTTCATATGAAGAATAAGAAAGCATCTTGTGCAGTCAGAGGACGAAACGGTACCAGTTAGGGAATGCATGTCAAACAGAAACAGCTTTGCTGATTGTCTCACTATTTCAAGTGGACAAAATGCCCCAGAACTCCTATAAAGCCATAATCACTGTTTATTTCTTGGTGTATTTTTATTGCCTGGTTCTAAATTGAGCAGCTACGGAGGATGGTAACTTCAGAAAGAACAGAAATAATCAGGTACAATGCAGCACAGGTAGTGACTTCCTCCAATACGTTCCCAATTGCCAGTTCATGGAGATACTCAGCTGCCAATACAGGGATCTCACCCCAACACTTTTAATGTATGAAAAGAAGCAAGTTGAGAAGTAATTTTTTCATGACCTATTGGAACATCTTCTGCCAAGTTCATGAGCTGCCACGTTTCAAAGTGTTTGTGGAATAGTCACTGGATAGTTTAAGCAGCTTAAATGCAACCTCCTTTAATGCTGCCATTATCACAGGCAAACCTGAAGCTCCAAGATATCTCCCTTTCATTTACACCCTCCACAGTTGTTTCAGATGAATCCAATTTCGTGTGCAATTTACAACAGGGGCAAAGCCAGGTTCTCAGCCAATAGGAAGTCAGAAGGAAAATCGGAGGGGAGAAAAGTTTCATTTTCAAGCTTGGAAAAACACTACTCTGAAAACTAAGAAATTAAGAATTCTGATCTCCTCTCCAACGCAATGCTAACCCTGAAATATTGCTAACAAAGGAATCTGAGGATATTAGATTCTGCTTCGCTGTGCTCCCAAGCTGCAGTAGTTGAGAAATACTGCTGTGAGACAACACTTTTATTCCCCTGTGGAGGCTGATGTCTCAGGCCTCTTCCCCAAGAGCTGAATACACAAATCAGGAAGAAACACAAAAATCTCAACTCTAAATCAACTCACATCTGCAGCAGAGTGGAGGCACCTCATGTTAACACCGCCATCCATCACGCACAGCGTGAATACCACGTGAGGCTTCAAGTTGGCAGATAGAAAGAAACTTGCTGTGTCAGACAATCCCGACTGCTTTGTGCTGCATCCCTCAGGACTCCAGATCATCCTGTCCCACTGGCTGCTTCATTCAGGTTTCCAAAAGCATTAGGAGGGCAAGGGGAGACATTTTACAGTACAGACCATGAGGATTGCCTTTATTTCATGCTCTCTGGCTACACCACTGAACAAGTGAGTTCATGCTCTGCTCCTAAAGGAGTCCCTACATAAAAAGGGGGTAACCTTTAAGATGCTAAGGGAGAGTGCAGTGTAGAGCTCTGCCCTCTTGGCTGACTTTAGGTCATCTGGGGGAGACTCTTGCACCAAGCAACCCTCCAGAGCTATGGATGGGATCATTAAAGCACAAGTGCTGTGTCATGGCCTCCCAGAAGTCGTGACAGGTACCCAAAGGGCAGCAATTGCTATTCCCATGTCCATTCTGTGATGGAATCTGGGAAGGGTCCCTCATTAAGCCACATTCTCCTATCTCATCACAACCAGAGCAGGTGAATTCAGCATCACCTGGTTTAGTTCTCTGCAAAAAGCCCAATTACACGTCCTCAGTGCAGGGGGAAGATGGATTTCTCACTGGGAGTTTTGAACATCCCTGTCATTTGCACATTGCTCACACCAGAGGATTTAACCCCCAAACTCAGCCTTGCTCCCTCCCCTTACCAATACACCCTTTCAGCACGTTAGGCTTTTCACACAATGCACTTTCCCTAGGAGATGTTTCAGATGCCACTGAAGGACTTAAAAAAGCCAGCGAAGCCACCTTTGTGTTCCCAAAGCCATTAATGCTTGAGAGCTTTTCATATCACGCCTGGGTGACTCTGCAATCAAACATACTTTCAAGGGCACTCCACAAGCAGCGGTTCTAATGGACTTCAAATTTAACATGGAGCTCCATTAGCAAAATAAATATATAAATAAAATACATGATCTTCACTAAGAAATCAGGATAGAGGAGCCTTTGAAGCAAGAAGGCAGAGCAGGGTAGGTGATGCGATTAGCACAACTCCAGAATCCCAATGAGGAAGGGCTCTGTGCCCTGCTGTACCCGCACACTGCTCATAGCTGGCTGAAGGCAAAGCAGATCACTTTGGAGAGGTCAGCTGCCTATCCCTCACCCCACGCTCATCAGAGAGGACTGAATGCAATGTGAGTCACATGAGTTCTAATAACAGAACAGCCTCCCAGCACTTGAGGGGGGTTGGCAGTGAAGTGGGAAAGAGTCACTGGTAATCATCAGTTCAGCAAGTGCAAAGGAAATAACTGCCTTAGATATACCTGTGTACTTCTATAGGAGCAAGGTTGACATGTAGCTGTATTTAAAGAGATAAGGAGCATTCCAACCTACATGTGCTCCTGCCCATGGCAGGGGAGTTGCAAAGAGGTGAACTTTGAGGTCCCAAACCATTCTGGGATTCTATGAACCCACATCACTGCTACTTGTTGAAGCAGGCAGTAACACAGGGCAGTTGCACTTCCAAGTCTCCTTCACACCAAGCTCTTATGCAGCTATATTTGTCAGCCAGCTGAGTCTCACATGGACAATTCCCCCCTTCCAGAATAGGCACCAGATCCAAGGCTAGACTGCTCACTGTATGAGCAGGAGGACTGATCAAAATGACACCGACAAGGTGGCTGGTGATCCAGATAGGACTGAAAAGAGGTTATGTACTCCACTGAGTGGAGCAGGGTGGTGGGAACCTCAGAATATCAGACTTCACACCATTTCATTTGCTTCCCCTCACTAACAGACACCTGAAATTTGCCATGAACTACAGCCTCTCAGCCAGGGCAGTGTATTGGGGAGCAACAAGAGCTTCCAAAGGAAAGGGGACCCAGGGAGTGAACTCACCTTCAGGGCTCAGCTCCACACAGCCAGATGCAGGCAATTGCAGAAGGTCCTACCCACAGTTCTCAGGCAAAGGCAAGGTGATGAGAAAGACCTGATCCCTCTCAGCTCTGCCTTTAAATGATGCTCCTGGACCTATAGGCAGAGAGTGTGGGTGCAGTTCCCAGGTGATGCTGGTCAGGATGCTCAAGACCTGTTAATGCCCTCAGGGCACTGACACCGTTGTTCTTTATCATGTCATTAAGTCACAGATCACAAACCCCAGCTACACCTATTCTTCCTATTGCCTCTTTGAATTTTGATCAAAAAAACCTGGGAAAAGGGTGGGGGAAAAAAAGCAGCAGTAATTCCCCAATAAGCAAGTGAAATCTAAGCCTTGCTTCTCATAGAACAATTCACTATTAAATTGATTTCTGGGATGCACAATGGATTTAATAGTGCTAATCTCTCATGTAATGTTTCCCTTCATTACTCTTCAGCAGCACTCAAGCTGAGAGGCTCAGCACTGATGCTGTGCTCCCATCCCCGCAAAGCAGGGCTGGTGACTGGGGAAAGAAGGGAGCCATAAAGCTAGCCCTGGCAGGTGCTTCCAGGGGTGAAACTGAGAAGCACTGTCATCCTTTACTAACACATTGCCCAGCAGATGAGGTAATGCAGTTTGTGGAAGGCATGAGGGCAAAGGACTGATTAGAAGCAGGGCTGAAGAAACAAAAGATTGTCTTCCTAAACATGATCAGTGCATTGGTTCCAGCCCCTTTTCACCTCTAATTCCTTGTTCTCATTCCCTTTGATAATCCCTAAATCAGTAGCGAGCATTTCTGATCTCCTCTATCACAACAGATACTTGCCTTTTCTGCTCCTCCCTGCACACAGGCACTCTGGAGGCTGTTGCACAGATGTAACAGGGCAGGATCAGGCCCATGAGCTGCTACTTGCCAGAGCTCCAAAGCATAATTATAGACGTGTTTATTTTAGATGAAGGTGTTATTCAAACACACAGTTAATAAGCAGGAAAGTGAAAATGTCTCCTTCCAGCCCTTCCTACACACATTTGCCTTGCCAGAGGGACCCCAAAGCACATACTCAAACAGGTATTTTATGATTGAGGCATTCAGGATTTAATCAAACCCCATTTAACTGCTTACAACTTCTAAAAGAAGCTCTTAGCAAGAACACGGGGAAAACAAGAAGTTGTAAGAGGTGAGATGCCAGGCTAAGGAGGGTAAAGAAAAGTTCCTTGTTCCTAAATGCCCCAATGGGCTTTCTCATTAACATCCTTCTATATGTTCTTATTTATAAAGCAGGAATTATAGAACATAAAAACACCCCACGGGTAAAGCTGTCATGGTGATACAACAGTGTTTACCGGTGACCTGCATTTCAGGGTGCTTTAACAGAAGCTAATGACTATGGCATTCAAACTGATTTATGTGGATAAATTTTCCCAATTTGCATGTTGGCTATCGGAAGTTTTCAGAGACTGAGCTGGAAAGGATATTTTTTTAAGCAAGAGATTAAAATGTGTGACCTTAAATAGAGCCCTCCCATCTGGTTTGCTTCCAGAAGTGTCTCAATTGCCCCTGTCATTAAGAACACAATACCGCTCTTTCTTGGGCTTTCCAACCAATATAGTTATGTTCCTGGGAAAATATGGAGAGAAAGAGCTACGACCATCAAATGGGATGAATAGGAGAAAGGATTTTGCGCCTTAGGAAATGCTGTTCATTTACTTTATGAGGATTATGTACACTGTATAAGTAGCATGAGAATCTCTAGGAACATTACATGACAAACAGACAATTATATTGCGGGATTGCTGATTCAGACCCATTGTACAGGTTCCTAAACAATGCTGTTACTCAGACCAAACCTTCTATTTTATTTCTCATTTTTCGTCCATCAGAGTGACTCTAGAATAATTCCAGTAAATCAATGAGGGTTTTACATGCTGGAGCTGGCAATTAGGCTGGGAAGGGGTTTTTGGACAGTGACTGTGTGCTCTCTGTTCTGTGCCAACAGAAATTAACACTTCAAAGGCTGAGTGTCTGAACAAAACTAGCCTAGCACAACACAATTGAGATCAGCAGAATACTTACTACAGATTTGCACGTAGATGGATGAGAGCAAAAATTAGACTTGTATATCAGTGTCTGCTACCGCATCTTATTCAAAGCTAGTGCTTTGCCTTTTGCTTCAGATTTATGACAGAAATCACATTCAGAGGCATTAGAGAGGATGAACATTCTCTGCAGTGATTTTTCATTTGTGCTCTAGAGTTCCACCTAATCCTGAATGTGCTGGCACCTGTATGAACTGCACAGGAAGGCAGTGATCCTCCCTGAAAGAGCTGACAAACTTCATTTAAGGACTTTGTTTTCCAGAGCTGCTTGGAAGAAGTCTCATCTCTCTGCAGCATCTTTATGTACCAAGCCAGAGCTATGTATTTATTTCATGTTTTTATTCGTGGGAAGCAGGGCCTCGTCATGGGGTACAGAACATATCTTGCATTTACCCATTTCCACCTTGCCTCCCTCCCTTCTCCTTCTGCCCCCAGAAGATCTGGATCTTACATAGGTGCACTATACAGGGTGCCCATGGATACTGCGCAGCTAAATCTCCATTTCCACCCATACTGTTAAAGGTGGATTTTAAGCAGCGTATTCACAGGTAGAATTTGTTGACAAATCATTTTTGGCTCAGTGTTAGGTTCATCTTCCCCTTAAAAATGAGTTCTACTATTACTTGTGCAATTTCCCTCCCTACATGTGTGTTCTCTAGCTGCATTTACATTATTTTGCCTGCCTTTCATAGCTTTTGCACTTCTTGGCCCATTTCAACCAAATTTTACAGATTTATGGACATTAAAGTCCTCTCAAGATTTGTGAAAACAGGCAATCAGCAGTAATTTATAGCATACATGGATACTCCAAAGAAAAGGAGTTTAAAAAGCAAAGTCTATTAATCTGGAACACTAAATATTCCCTTTCTTTAAGCTACACATATTGAGGAAGAAAGAAGTGATGAGGAGGGGAAATAACTTGGGAAAAAAAGATGCCCATTTAGCCTAACATACTTTGTCCTACAGGACTTAGCGCAGGGTGAGATATTTCACTTCGCAGAGGCAAATTGCTGCACAGAAGAACAAGTTAGGTGCTATCTGTTCAAAATCTGCTTCCTCTTACCCAAGACATAAATCTCGCTGGTGACTACGGCTGCGCTGAAGCGGTATTTGGAGTACTTCATCGGTGCTCTTTCTGTCCATTTGTCTTGGCCTGGGTCGTACCGAAACGTTCTGTTACTTAATCGATCCGGCTCATCGTCAGGCAGATCCATCTGTATGAAATATGACAGCCAGGTAATAATACAGCATTTGGAGCCCTCTGCACATGCCTGCATGCAATTAATCACAGCAGATAAATAACATAAACACATCAATTATAGCTGCAGAGTGATTCATGCTCCCTAGGGTTTAACAGCACCCAGGACTTGTGGCTGGGAGTGCACTGTGGAAGGCAAAGGAGTAAGATGTCATCTATATCCTGCAGTAATAAAGCTGGGGATTTGGGTTTTAACAACGCAGGCATGGGCCTTCCATGAACCCATCCATAGGTTCTGCCTGTGGTTGAACATACTTTTTATCACAAGGCTGCTTTAAAGTCTTAATAATAGAGGGAAAACCACTCTGACATCTTTCTTCCTGCTAACAGTTGAAATCTATTCCTGATGTTACTCAGCCCATGCTGTGATTCTTTCTCCCTGAGGTTCTTTGCTGGCATTTCCCAGGCCTCTATATACACATAAGTTATTCTCAAGTCACTTGTGTGTTTATTTAGTCAGCCTAACCAGAGTAATGTCGTTCAACTGCTGTAACTTCAGTAGCTTTTATAGTAAGTTCCTATCCCCCCCCCCCCACTAATCTGTGCTGCCATAATAGTCTTTTAGTACTCCTACTCCTCTTGTTCTCTCTAATCTTCTTCCCCTTTATCTGCTTGTCTTCTATGATGCAGGGAACTCAGATTATGTTTTCCGGGTACGACACCCTTGAATGTAAGCAGTAGGCTGTGGGGAGAGGATCCTGACATATTTTGGGATGAAAGGTTTCAGGTAGAGGGAGTGAGGAGGAGAGAACGACTTTGCTTGCTTCTGATGGTGTTCTATGTGTTCTTGCTGTCTTTGTTATTATTCGTTCCCAAAAGACCTTCCCAACGCTACTGTCATAGGCAAGGTAGTAGAAGGCAAACTGAAAATTAAATGTTTAGCCCTTTGGTTGCTCCCTGTGAGCGGCCAGGGGCATGCTCTTTCTCTGTGGTGTGAAATACTAATTTATTCAATGAAAGAGGGGTAAGCTGTGTATTTTCAGCACAGGGTAAGCATTTACTTAGGAGCAGGCACCATTCGACATGCTGTAATTTCACATCCTACCTCATTTTCATGGTAACGTTCACCTCAGAGCGCACCCTCTGCTCTTTATGTACAGAAAACATAACACCCAGCAGCCCTTCTCTGTGTCTCAAGGGCCACTTTTAAGAGCTCCCAGTTACCAAGACTGGAGTCCCTTTGGTTTTTAACTCTGCTGGCATCAGTGAGGCTGGACTGATGCTAAGCCAGAGCAATGCTGCTGTGAGTCAAGCTTTTGCCCTCCTAAGCTGTCATTTAATGTCCTGGCTTGACTTTGCCTTGTCTTGTTTCAATTACAAAGCCGGAGTGGGATGGGAACATGTATTTATCTCTGTCCTGTAATGGACACACACACTCAGGGCACTCCATCAGTGCTGTGTCGTTGGTGTTTGTTCAGGATTGACAGAACATTCAGTGCCTGAGCACAAGGACAGCTCCTGGCTTGAGGAACTGGTCTGCTTTCACAGTGCAGCTGTGGTAGCCCCAGCTCTACAATCACTGCATCTGGCAGGTGAGTGGGGGAGCTACATGGTACCACAAGAGCTCAGCGCTCTGCAGTGCTGGTCTTAAAGCATGGGTTTGGAGAGCTTTAGCTAATTTATTCTGATCTCTTCAGGTACACCCTCATCTTAAAAAGATACGGGGTTTAATCTATTACTGTTAATCTGCTCATCTCAAGCCTATTTGTACATAACCTCAGACTCCATGGATTGTTTCAGATAGCACTGGATGGCAGGTATCCCCATCAGGCATTCTCAAGATGCCTGTATTGTTTTTTAGAGCCATTCTTGGCTCAATATTTTGACTTCTAAGCCACTTTTCTGCCTTGAAATCTGTCCAGAGATCTATTAAGCAAGACAAAGCTGGTTGTCTGACTTCAACATCCATCCTTTCAGTTTAGTTTTTTTTACAGATTGTTTCTACATGAAGTGTTTTCCTGCTTTCATCCTTTCAATAGCGAGTTATCCTCACTCAGGTGTTTCACTATCAGAAATACCCTCTGATCTTCCTGTTGGGAATTCCTGCACTCAAAACATCCAAAGCGGTGGAACTCTTTGCTCGATACATCTTGCTTTTTCAGTACTTTAAACAGTAATTTATTTCAAGGGAACACAAACCAATGAGACGTGATGACAGGCTGAACACGTTGCTGTCGGCAATAGGATTACAGATGCTCCTCTTCATTGTAAATGTGGGGCTTTATCTTGAGTGCTGAAATTTCAGCTGCACTGAGCAGTCAATAAGAATGGGCTACACTCTTAACATTAAGATCTTTTGCACTGGGAACAACTGGAGAGAGCAAGTACTGGTCTTAACATCCATCTTCCTTGTAGCATAGGCCTCTATATTCCCTGCCCTACTGAACCTGGTGTCTGTGGTCCTGCTGAGAATTCCTGTTAAAACTTTACATGGCCAAGCACTGTAACTGAAACAAACGAATGGATCGATTGAACGAATCTGTGTTCCAGAGAATACAATACAATGAAAAACCAAATAAATGAACGTTAGTTACCCAAGGCAGCTTCCTGAGGAACTGAGCTGAACTTTAAATTTCATATATAGATCTGTCTTTGGAATTTACCTTTGTACACACTTCTTGAGACAGGGCTCAGTTAGGGGCCCCTGTGTGATTTAAATATCATCATTTAGTCACACCTAAACAAATTAAGAGGATGGTAAATAAGGAAAGGAAAGGCTGGAAGCCATGTTGACACAGGAGATGTGTTTTAAACTCTTGCTGACTGTGCACATCTCTATGAAAGCACAGCCCTTCCTGCGGCTGGTATTTGCAGTGAGGATGGCAAATGATGGACATTTCTTCTTCCCCCCGTTTGCTTTTCCTACAAAAGATGTTTAAGCAGATAAATGGGCCTTTGGGCAACCTGCTCAAGTGGAAGGCGTCCTTGGGTTGGAACTGGATGGGCTTTAAGGGCTTTTCCAACCCAAACCAGCTTGGGATTCTATGGTTCCATGAATGCGAGCAATATATTCTTCTGCTATGACTGACATATTTTTCCTATGCAAGAAGCACCATAAAATTATACAGCAGAGTTTGTTAGTGCACAAACAAAACAAAGTAACTGGCACATGTCTTAACCTGTGGTGTCCATCCACCCAGGACATAGAGCTTATTCTTCACTGCCACCACCATGTGGCAGGCTAATGGTACAGGAAGAGGTGCCGTGGTTCTCCAGGTGCCTTGCTCCATGGAATACTTCTCCACACTGTTTGTGACCAGATACTGATTTTTCACTTTCATTTGCCCTCCTATTACATAGAGATCATTATGGATAGTGCCCAACGCGTAGAGTTCACGTTGCTCAGTAGTGCACAGGCTGTGCCAAAACTGGTTTCCTCTTTGGTGGTATCTGTAGGAAAACCCAAAGCTGTAAATGCCCTGGTTCACCGAGATCCCATCAGCTTGCTCTGAGACATTACCCCCTTGATCATCAGTGCTGACTCAGGCAATGGTGCAGTGACAGGAGGAGCTTTCTCCTTCACAGAGTAGTTATAAGATTGAGCCCAATGTTTGCAAGATCAAGCGGTTTTAGCATGAGGAGTCCTAGGCATCCTCTCAAAGATATTGGACCTCCATTAAGACAAGAAGTCCCTTATTTCTGTGTGTGCTGCTCAGTCACAGTTTTGACTGAACTCAGTGGGAAAAGCAAGAGCTCAACACTGCTGAAAATAAGGCCATTTCATCTGCCCCAGTGTGGATTTACTTCCTTAAATTTAAGCATCTGTATCTGAAAATGTTGTCACCATTTCTTAATTTTAGCTTTAATCCAGAAAAAGTCTAGTTTTCTTTAAAATGTATGCATCTGAAAAAGACACAAGTAAAAACAGAACGGGGTTTAGAACTATCAGTCCCTCTCCTTTAATCTCCGAAATACTATCACCAACAGAGAGGTGTGTTTTCTCTGCCTTACTGGACTCCTTGGGCCATTCACTTGCCTCACTTCCCCCTGCTAACAATCTAGAAAAGAGTATCCCAGGAAAACATTGAGGTTTCCATAAGGACAAGAGAAAATCCACATACACTGCTCTAGGATCTAATCAAACTCATTTACACAGAGATGCCACTAAAGCAAATCCTTCTTTCGGGAGAGAAAGACCTCAAGATTTGGTTGCATCTCTATAATTCAGTGCTGTGAAGATAAACTGTGACAAACTGGTTAATCAAAACCTCTGGGAAAACTTTCAAGTAAAGAACATTTTGTCTAATGGTCTTTTTTATTCCCAGAAACATTATTTGGATTTCAAATGCTTAAATAAAATGGGAATTTCGGACTCTGGGTACACACCTATAAATTTCAATGTTCCTGGTCTTTTGTCTGGACATTTTGGCAGCGCTTGCCTCACCTGCCACAATAATATCATTTTTCTCAGTCACGACACCAGTGCAAACATATCCTAAACCCTCCCCGTACTTCGGAGAGGAAATGAAGTAAGTCTTTTGTGTCGCAGGAGCGTAGCAAAAACTGGCATCTGCGTAACTACCATGCCTTGACCTAATGCCGAGAGAATTGTTGCCGATGCAGAGTAAGAGGTCAGTAGTCTCCATGCCATAGCGCAGGCTGAGGGAAGGGTGGCTGGAGAGTTTGATGGCTTTCAGTGCTTCCTCAAACATGTCATTGCATTCTGAATTGCACAGGATCATTGTGTTCCTTTTCCGGGCTTCCAGCAGAAAGGAAGGGCTGACAAGTACCAGTCGCACTTGCTTCAGGAGCTCAATGAGGTGCTCTTCACGTGATTTTCTGCTGTGTTTGACCCATCGAATGACAAGGTCCAGAATGTTCTCCTCCCTGGAAATATTCAGATCATCTGATTTAATGAGAGTCAACAGCTGCTGGAATTCAATCTCCAATATTTCTTCCTGTAGGCTCACCTCAGCAAAATGCTGGTACAAATATTTCCTCGCCTGATCGGATAAATCTTCTGCCCCAATGTGGCTTGCAAAGTAGTAGATGCCTACACAGTTGGAGGCATCCATGTGGTCCATCATGTACTTCTGACACGGACTGAAAACCTCTTCCATCTGCATGAAATAGGCAGCGAGGGCAACAGTCTGCACGTTGTGGTTGGTGAGGTGCAGCTCCGCGCTGTACATGTAGGTGAGGAGTACGGCCACGCTCTCTGCAGAGATGTCATAGAGGACCACTTCCCTTTGGGTGCATTCAACCAAGCCACAGGTAAACATGGCTTTGAAATAGGGACTGAAGGCAGCCAGCACCACCTTATGGCAGGGGAATTTCTCACCTTCTGCAACTAGGACAACATCAATAATCTCTGCTGATTCTTTCATTCTCTTTACTTGTTCCAGTAAAGTCAAGCTGTGGCGCTGCTTTCTTTTCTCCTCGGCCTTATGATCCATGGTTGATCTCCAAACTTCCTGGTTTTAAACCTCAGAACTGAAGGTCTTCATCAGGAATATTCCTAGAGGTAGAAGCATAATTGTCCAATAAGAACAAACCATTGGGTAAATGGTGTGTTATTATCAAAAGATGGTAATTCTATAGGATGACCATGTGATATGAATGAGTAATGCATTAAAAGTATGTAAAGTTATGGTCTCAGGCTCAAGATCCACAGCACAAAATAAAATGAAAATCAACACTTTAATATTCAACACGCCCCCCAGGATTTGTGAGTATTTAATGAAAATTAGACTTCTCTTGACTCATGTCATGAATCACCAATACACAACTTAGTCCTTAAGCTGTGGTATAACCATGCTTAAAACACACTGTAAACATGACATAAGTTGCTTAATGAGACTATTCAAATGAGTAACATTCCTCACAGCTTCAATTCTTGTGGGATCAGGGTCTTGTATGGCAGATTGAACTGGTTTTCTCAAATCCCGGAAGCACCAAAAGTAGTCTGAATTTCATTAAAGAAATATGCATCAACACAGAAAAACAGTGTATGAAATTCTTTGAAACCTTTGGTGCCAAATTAAAAGCCAGGCATGCTTAAAAACCAGCATTGCCTTGATTTTATCAATTCTTTCCTTATTCCAAATCTGAAACTACAAGCAACAAATCTGAGAAATGAATCTGGGTTATAAATGGATTTGGAAGACAAAACATGAAATTCATAGTCTGAATGGGGGCCAAGCTCTGAGCTCTTCTTATGGTGCTTTTAAAAAATCCAAGGCAGTAAGTTCAGTACAAAATATAAAGTGATGGTATTTCAAAACCTAGACTCTTTTTCTTCCTGGCTCCATTGAATTGAAATACTGCATTCAAGAAAATGTAGGTCTTAATCCTGAATCGACTGCCTCTGGAGTAGTCATTACAATCAGTAGAAGCATTTTATGAGATAGAAACTGTTCTTCTTTTTAATCCTACATGATAATTGGATGGCCAGTTTATTGCTTTCCCCTTGTGCTATTTTATCACCTTCTAATAGTCGTTCTTCACTGCATTTTCATAAAGGAACCACCCCATATCTCAAAGACTTGTGTATTAAAAACACACACATCTTAAAGCAGATGAGCCTCATTGTCTTTTAGCAGGATGTTTGCTCTCAACCGGATGAAAGCGTTAATAACCAGCCATTCAGCAATCTGACTAACCAGGGTTAACCAAAATGATCAGCTCCTCTCCTTTCTCTTTTGTGGTGTCAGAGCTTCGCACATCCTCCAGCTTTTTCAGAATGGACAAAATGTGCATTTCTAATGTGAAGAACAAGCGAGATGATTAATCATCATCATCTTTCCCAGACTTTTGTACAGATCAGGAAGAAGCAGCGTATAGAACCGAGTTATGATTTCACTTCCTTTGCTGGTCACCTTGACGCTTTCTTTCGCTGTTAATTTCGCTTTCTTAAGAGCAACACTTTGTCCTTGATTACTCTGTTCATTGGGTTTGTGAATGTTTTGTGTTCATTTCCCAGTAATTAGGATATCTGGCACAACATGCTCACAGCCTTTTCTCCTCTCTTTCATGATTAAGACGTTAGCAATAGCAATCTTAAAGCACAACGAAGCTCATGCTGTTTCTGCGCTACTGATGGATAACACCCACTACCCATGATGAAGGGTGCTGCCCATCTGTACCCAATGTGGGGTGATCTCAGCCCACAGAGCAGCTCTGCTTCCCCAGCCAGAGCTACAAGCAGAGCTTGAGCACCTTACACTGTCAAAAAGACACTATTTGCCTTTCCTCATAAGAACTCACCCTCTTCCTCTCTTTGCTTTGCTAGCACACCAAGCTCCTGACTGAGCCATACTCAATAAAATCATGCTGTTGACTTGCATGTAATTCTACTGTCTCCATTCTACTGCTGGGGAAACTGAAGCTAAAAGGTTAAAAAGAAAACAGGTTTAAAACCCAGGGGTGAGATCCTTTCATTAACTCCAGAAATTCATCCCTGTGCATTAGCTACAAACTTGTCAGTCCCCCCTGGCTTTTAGCAGTGTTTAGGTGAGGTCATTGGAAGGATATTAATATTCTCCTTTATATCATTGGAAAGACTATTAGAGAGTAATAATGAAATGGTGTTGCTTTGCTTTCCCCTCTGGGTTACAGAGGCAGAAAGATGGTACATTGATATTAAAAGAAAGGATAAATGTGACACAAATATAATTTGCAGTGAGACGCTATACTGGGATTGTGCCAGGGGCTGGGTTGTCATTATAAAATCCCTATTGCAAGGCTCAAATCCTTTCTAATGTCACCAGGAACTGAAATCAGAGTTACTGCCTTATTCAGAGGCTTTAGATGTTCTTTTCTTCTATTGTGAAAAACGAATTCAGGTGCAAATCTTCATTTGCTGTTACTTTATTTCAGAGCTGGGCTATTCATTTCCCTCCAGTTCTGTTCCTCCTTCAATTTTTCCATCAGCTGGTTTGTTAGTCAAATTCCACTTTTCCTTGCCTTTGTGTCATGAACCTCATGAAGAGTCACACGTACTTTCATGCAGGAGCTACAGCACACGTTTTGCAAGGCAGGAGGGTGCTGCATGAGCAGTTCAAAACATAAATAAGCACACTGCTGTGAGCTCAGCTCTATGGCTTTTATGAGGCTATCGCACTATAAATAAATGCTGTCCTCAATTCTCAGTTACACTGCAGCCTCTTTGAACTGCCCCAGCGCAAAGGGACTGTGAACCAGATGGAAGGATCTCACCAGGAACTTCCCTTAACCTCTGGGAAAACAAAAAGCTACCTTGTAATTAGAGACATTATTTTGTCTGTGCTCCTGTCTGGGGTATGGATTTTTCCTGTTCTTTCCCCAGTCCCAAGGAATCTCTTCTTTCCCAGCCATGGTGGGAGGGTGGGAGCTGCAGGACCTGGCCCAGAAGGGGTCACAGCTCCCAGCATGAGTTGCAGGGGCACCTCCTGCAGCCTCCTCTTCCTCTCCTGCTTTCTTTTCCCCTCTTCTCTGCCTTAATGAGGCTGCCCTGTGCTCAGCCTGCCTCTCCCTTCAGGTGCTGGGAGGTTCAGAGTTCAGGCACATCAAAGAGCCCTTGCCTCTGCCTATGAATCATTTGTGCTTGCCTTGTTATCAGTAAGCCGAGGAGCAAATCTGTTAATTGTATGTGTTATGACATTTGGCTGACAGCCACAGCGAGGCAGGAATCAGTACCCAGATGATAATAATGCTATAATCTCAGGATTTAATGATGAAGGCTGTGCTGGCATTTAAGATCAAGATTTTAAACCATGCCAAGGATCCTGCAGCGCTCGAGAAGGGCAAGTCACATTGCTCATCTTGATATAGGGAAAAGCTATAATAAGATATAGAAAGACTGTTTCCGGGGAATTATAGATGTTCCTATATCTGTAGGATAATGGGAACTACTCCCTTCATTCTTATACCTGGAAAGGTGCCTGAAGAAATTATTACATGATTGGATTAAGAATTTAGAGGCTAATAAGTTGATAGAAGCAGCTATAGCACATATTTGTCAAGAACAAATTGTGTCACTCCAATCTAATTGTCTTCATTTTTTCAGGGATAATAGGGGATAAATTAGATACTTTGTCTTGAGTGAGATCACTGACACGGTCCTACAGGATATAATTACACATTGTGATGAAATCAACTGGCTAAATCAACCCAAGTTAGTAACTGGCTGAAAAACCAGGTTCAAAGAACTATTATCGATGATCAGATCGGGAAGCATTTCTTGTCCGTGGCCAGAACTCTGTGCTGGAAATGTCACTCACAGTTTCAGGGAAGTCTTACTCTTTTGCTTTGACTTTGGTATTATTTCCTGAATGAATTTCAACCATTCTGTCCGGATAAAATGCACAAACTTAGGGCAGAACAGCAAGTGAGAGAGAAAATCCAGTTCTTCTTAGGAAATGGATGTCTATACGGTTTGAGAGGGCACACAGGTAAGTGCTTCTAATAAATGGTTCTCTGTGACTATTAGACATTAGCCTGGGGATGTGTCTCATGTGTCACCATAACTACCAGCAGGCACGGTACCTTTTCTGAGGTCTTCCATATTCTGTCTGTTGCTGGTTACTTAGAGATTTAGCATGTCCAGGTTTTGAAAGGCATCCAGTTAAGTTAAGAGTCCAAGTCCTACTCATGCTCCCTGTGTGATTTAGGAACTGAAGTGTCTGCATCACTTCTAAAGGTAAAACTTCAGCCTCACATTGCCCAGGCAGCATTAAAAGGTTTGCCAGCTGAGGTGATCTCCTTCGCATTACAGTCAGAGAAGGAACTCTCCTTGCTCATCCCTATCCATACCCCAGGATCAGGCCCATCACAGGTACATTTCAGAAGGTCTCAGTTGTTTTACTGCTGGCAGGGAAGGAGGAACTTACCTTGAGGTTTTGAAACTGGGAGCACTACAAATCAAGTTGTGCCATTTGCCTGTATAAGATAAAGCACAACAATCCTTCTGAGAGAGATTTTAACTCTTTCTCCCTCAATCCCTGTGGCACCCCGTTCATTTTCACATGGCATCTGATACTGAGGACCCCGAGTCAAAGCAGCCTGAGGTCCCATGATACCCAAGCATGAACCACCTCCTGCTGGGACGTGTGCTGCTGAGCATCCTCATGGGATGCCAGTTGCAGTCCATGAGTGTGTAAAAGGATGCTCTCAGTGCAGAAGGACAGGCTGCTGCTGGGGATGTATGCAGGTGTGGCAGTGTTGTGTCCCCCTGTGTGCATCACTGCATCCCTGCTGCTGGAAATATCCCGCTGCCTGCAGACATCTCCACTCAGACTGCTACAGCCTGTCCTTCCTGCAGTAGCTTCTTTGTGTTATTTCTCATTTCATTGCTTCTTCATTTAAAAGGAAATTAAAATGGGACTTAACACAGCCTTTGGGGCTGGGAGAAGGTTGACACCTGACAGGAGATTTCTAAGCAGCCTGCAGAGCTGCAGAAACCATGTTTGGGAGCACGTTTGACCGTCGGAGACCTGGAGATGCTTTGATCAGTTTTCAAAGCCTTTGGGTAGTTTATGATTCTGGAAAGATTTGATAGTTTGAGCTCCGTTTACTGCCAAGACAGAGGCCTAGATGTGGGATTGGATTAATATTGATCCTATCTCAGCAAATACCAGGCTTTTTTTTCCTTCTCTAAACTGTTATAGATTCATGACAAAAATCAAAGCAGCTGAAAATGAAAGACCCCGTGGGCCACCTTTGCAAATACGCCTTCACCCGACCTTAATCTTCCTCTGATTCAAAGCCCAGTGAAGTCAGTCAAAAGAATTCCACAATGTAAGTGGAAAATGGATGTGGCTCCGCTCCCAAACAAATGCCTACAAACAAACCCCAGTCTGAGCCAATTATGTGCATTAATTGCATGAGAAGAATAGTAGCTAAATATATGCCTACAGAGCCCAGTTCTTTTACAGTTCACATGTGCAGATCGTTTCTCTTATATATCCAACCTAATTGAAATGGCAAAGTGCTCATTCACAGAAGGAGGATGCACAAGGTTTTTACATACCCAATGACAGATGCCAGCAGAAGGAAAATGTAATTCTAAAATGTATTTCAGCAGCAATTTAAGCAGCCTGGCAAAGGTCTTGGAGGTTTCTCTTATTACATTTATCTCAATATAGTGGTGAGTGTAGGAAAGGCTCACTTTCTGGACCAATTATATCAGACATTGTAAATGGGACCATCACAATCAGAAGTAACTTGATTTAATTATTTGCTGGAAACTAGGTGCCTGTTTTTGCATTTTTCAACACAAAAGAATGTGAACTCTAATTGCTAATATTTACATAAAGCCCTGAGGTATAGATCCATTTGTTGAGCAATGGTATGGAAAAGCCTCAATATCCCTGTCACTCAGCAGTGAAACTAAAATAAATGGCAAGTTGTAAACCCTGATTACTTGATGCCATCTTTTCATAGTTACTGTTCAAATCCAGCCTTCCCCATGAAATCCTCTAGTTTTGATTGCAATCACTACCAAGCAAACATCTGGGTATGTCCATACCCATGGAAAAGAAAACTCAGAGCAACCCACGGCAAGAACACAGCACCACTTCCAAAATGCCCCAGCACTAACACACATATTCAATACCTACGAAATCTGCAAACTCCACTGAACCCTCATATTAAAAACATTCAGGCTATTGATAGTGCCAGGCACATACAGATACCTTGATGGAAGAATCATAATCAGACTGATCTGGGTTGGAAAGGACCTTAAAGCTCATCCAGTTCCAACCCCCTGCCATGGGCAGGGCAGGGACACCTTCCACTAGAGCAGCTTGCTCCAAGCCCCAGTTGCTCCAAGCTTCCTTACTGGAAACAAATCTAGATGTTTGCAGGCTTGTGGGATATGCAAAGACCCCCTGTGCACAGACCTCAGACACTGAGATTCCTGCATCCACAGGTGATCCTATTTCCACACTGCTGGCAAACCCCATATAGCTGCAGAGAGAGCCCAATTTTGACATTGTTTGGGGGTTCCCATGCTAACTTTGTAACTAATCTCTCACAATCCCTTAATGAACTGGACAACAGGCACCATAAGGACTGAGAGGGCATCATTTTTGGCACCAGCAGGAGGTTCTATAACTCCGTCCCCAGTATCTGTAAGGGTTCCCCAAGGCACACACCCCTGCCCACAAATGTCCAAAACACCCAGCATCCCAAAGCAACCATTCCCATCCAGCACCAAATTCCCCTCTCTTTCCTGCCCTTAGGGGGGATTAAATGTACCTTTCTGACGCCAGGAGCAGCAGGTACCTGTCAGACTGTGTGGGAGAGAGAAACAGGGACCTCACACAGCAGCACAGAGCTGCTGGTAAGCAACAAGGTGCCAGGGCTATAAATAGCCAGTGCTGGGCTCCTGGCTGGGATGAAGAGCTGCTTTAATATCATGTACAGGGCTACATAAGGACACACTGAACCAGAGGAGATGCTGTTGCTAGTTGACCCTATCCAATTCACTCTCAAAACCAAGGCCACTGCCTCTACAGCTGAGCAAACTCTCTCTCTCCTGCCCTTGCTATATCATTAAGAGCTAAAGTTGTGTATAAAATCAGGATTCCTGACCAAATGTGTTATTTGTATGTTTTAAGGCCCATATTCTTGTTTGTGTTGGTGTAAATCAGAAGCAGAGCCACTAAATTGACCCAGAGTAGTGGGGCAGCACTGATTTACTTCAGCTGCAGATCCTGTACTCTGTAAATTAAAGGGGAATCGAGAGGGCCATAATACACTGTTTATATCTCCATATGGTTAAGCAAAGATGGAAAAAAAGATTAAGGAAAATTTAGGGTTATAAAATTGATTCATGTTGTCCCTATATTTTCAGTTGAGGAAGACATCAAGGGGTTATCAGAATGTTCTTTTTCAAATGGCATTAATTTATTTATTCACTCTACTAATTGGTTGATCAATCATAATAGCGTTTGAGAAAATTGAAAGGGAAATATATTTCCTTATCTAGGGTTTTAGTCTGATGGTTTTATTACAGAGCTTATCCAAAAGCTGTAGAGGGAATGTTCAGGAATACTCAGCTATTAATAGCAGTTTGTTGTTTCTACGGGGGAAATTCAGATGTACACAATTTTACAAAGCATATTTCATCTCATTTGTGAACAGAACCAGGAAAAAATCAAAGTGATTAAAGTTTACTCCTGTCAGAGCATTCAATAGATCAGATTACAGAGATATATATTGCCCAAACTCCCAGATTGTTCTTATTAAAAGTTCAGCTTTATCTTAGAAATAAAAGTATCCAATCTGATAGGACAGCTTTCACAGGAGCCAAGATGGAACTGTGGGCTGATGAAATGCCACAGCTGTGATAAAACCAGACCATATCCCCTAAATTGCCTTGTTCTCCTGCTACGTGCAACAATTTACAGTAGGGTGATGGTTAACATGGGGTGTTTATGCAATGGATTTTATTTCTATGACACCACTTCACTATCATCATAATAATCACGTTTCCTTTATGGTTGCTGGTTTCTATAATGAGCCCGTTTCGTAAAAACATGAACTGATGCTTTTAAGGCAAATTCCTATTTATTGCTTATGAAATTCTGATTATTTCTCCTGCACTGCACTGAAATGCCCAGCACACCCCGTCCTGCAGTGCTGGGCAGGCTCTTTGCAATCACACAGAGTAACGCAGCCGTGAATCAGGCCCGCAATTGCTAGAAAGAAAAGCTTTTCTCTGCTGTAGGCCCAGCCAGTTCTCACCTTCTCCATGTAATTAAGTCGTAATCCTTCATTCTGATATCATCTGTTGTCATGGGGATCTTAATTATAAAAATGAATGGCGGAGAAGTGGGCGAAGACAAAAGTTTCTGCTGAACTTCGTTAATGGCAAAGGGAAGAATATCTGTGGGAATACAACAAATGGGCGATCTTTTAGCACAGTGTATTTTAAAACAAGGATAAGAAGTAGGTGTCGGAGACAGAAGAGACAAATTTGGTGTGAATGTACCCGCGTTTGAGAAAAATGTGTGGAATTCGGTGGTTTAGAACAAGGGTTTCATTGCACCAGTCACACAGCACATTCTGGCGCTGCGTGAGCACAGGCTTTCCCTTCTAAACCTCAGCTGAATCCAGGGATTCACCCCTTGGAAAAACACCCAATTATAAGGGAAAAGTCAGACCATTTTCCAAAGTCTTTATTCTTCCTGCAGAGGGAATGAGGCTGACCCAGCCCAGCTCTCTCAGCCTGGCTCCAGAGCAGAGCTGCTCCAGCCCTTGCAGCATCTCCATGGCCTCCTCAGGCTTCCTCAAGCAGCTCCACATCCCTCTTGTGTTGTGTGTATACACAGTGCCAGTTTGGATACATAGGGAGAGAAAAAACAGCAACAGAGATTTCCAGTTTAATCCCTCTAGCTATTCTCTTCAATACAACATTGGCTCTTAGGGTGTGAGTGTTGCCCTTTGGAGCAGACTAAGGGCAATCCCGTGCTCGCCCATGGCCACCGATCCTGGGGGCAGCTCCCATGCATTCCCTTGGAATCGAAATCTCTTCCTGGCTCTGTCGAGAGGGTTCCCAGGTTTCCTGACAGCCATCAGGGCGTGCCAGCCCCCCGCTGCTTTTTCATTTCAATAAATGAGGAAGTTGGGGCTAAATTAACACTCCAGCGGAGGTAATAGGGCCCGGCTCAGCAGCTGCCGTGATGTATGCAAATTGCAGCTTCACACATTAGGAGCTGGATGCTGCTTAATTTGTCGTTCTTTCGGTCTTTCACATGAAAGAGCCTCCATCAAATTCAGGGGGTCTTAAAGTAAAGAAAAAGGGCAAAAGAAAGCCCTCGAAGTCAACTACTCACCAGGGCTTCTAACTGTACCTACAGCCTTTCTGCTGGGGCTTGCCTCCTGCTGCCCTGATAATCAGTTATTACTGAGTTATTCTGCACTGCCAGATGCTTTTAGGCAAAATATTCCCTGATTTCCAATGAACAGACAGCCTGATCAAGGATGTACTGCTGGCCCTTTGGTATAAAGAGGAACCTGATGTTTTTGCAGCGGTGCCACAATCCAGGAGCTCAACATCCACCGGTATTTTTCTCTGCAAATGAAACTGTCCCAGTGTGAAGCTACCTGGGGTACCTGTCAGTGAATCAGACAGAAGGAATGGGCTGATAGAAGAGCATTTCTATTCCTTTTAGATCAGTAGAGATGGGAATGGAGATGCAGAGAAGCATGGAACAGATGGGATTTACGGAGAGGTTGTTCTGTACATTAGTTTTGGTGCTTTTTAATCTAAGAAAATGATGGTTATAACTGTGTTAGGGTCAAAAAGATTTCTAAATGGGCACCAAAAGTGAAACTCAGGAAGGAAAGTACGTACCCACTTGCGGAACTTGGGGCCATTATGGTCACAGAAAGCAGAAACAACTGATGTTTCTCACAGTATGTGTTGTGAGAAGAAGGAAAATATCAGAAACATTGTAAATTGGATTTTAGCTGGCTCAGAGATGCTGCAGACACAGGATATAAGGCTTAAGAAATGCTTGAAACTCACCTGTTTTTTTTTCCAGGCTTTATTCAGAAAGGCAGATATTTCATTCTAAAAGAAATCCCATTCAAATGATTTGGCGTTTGCCCATTTCCTTTTGCTTTCCTGACTTACACAGTCGGTCCTTAAGAGATATTGCTGCAGGTCTTTGAATACCTTTGGAGGAGATGCTCTTTCCTCCACTCTGGTCACCAGTTCCTCCCTGCTCAGTTCCTGCTCTTGGATGTCATCTTCTTCGCCTTCACTTACTCCTTTCCTTAGCTAGGGATACGTTGCTGACCCCCAGCCTGCTGTTAGCAAAGAAACAACAGGAACTTGCCCTGTCTCACCATTATTTGGCTGCATGTGTTGAAACGAACCGTCACATGAAAGTGCAAGATAAAGAACCACAATGAACTTGTGGCAAGAAACACTCAGGCTATAACCAGAATGCAGTGTCTGAGAGTGATGCCCAATTCCCAACCAGCCCCGGGCTGGTTTCCACCTCCCGGAGTTCACCTGCGAGGGACCTCATGAGTTAGTTGCCCATAAACAAGCAGCTGATTTTGTTCACACCTTGCAGAGTGGTTTATTCTGGAGCAGCAGCACATCATAGGAAATGAACGGAATGAGGATTCCCCCCAAAAGATAAAGTTTCTTCTACCTCTGTTCACAAAAGAAGGATGAAATGCAGTATCTTCCAAGTTCCACCCCATGTGGCAATCTTCCAAACCTCTTTCCATATGTTCCTAAGCGTTGAAAGCCCAAATGTTCCATATCTCGCTGCCAAATTCTCTGGCTCGATCCCAATGGCTCTTTCAATACATTTGGGTATTGTCTAGTGGGGAAAAAAAACCACTTCAGATTGATAATTCAAAATATATTTGATCATCAGGGAGATATGAATGGCCACAGGGCGCTGTGCTGAATGAATCGATCACACTCACAAAGCAGCACCAGGATATCGTTCTGATCCTACTGAAGCTGCCCCAGAAATCCTTGTTTGCTGCAGAACATATTGCTGAAGAGATCAGAAGCTGGGGGCAGAGGTGGAGGCAGATGAGCCATGGTGAGGGTGGCGAGACATTGGAACAGGTTGCCTGAGAAGTTGTGGCCCGCAGTATTCAGGACCAGGTTGGACGGGGCTTGGAGCAAGCTGCTCTAGTGGAAGGTGTCCCTGCCCACAGCAGGGGTTGGAACCGGATGAGCTTTAAGGTCCCTTCCAACTCAAACCAGGCTAGGATTCTGTGATGATGATTCTATGGCATCGTGGGTTCAGTCTGGGGTATGTGTCCAAACTGGGCTGCAGGGGGAAGTTTTGGACTCATGCAGACCTTGTAGGATTGGTTTCATCTTTGTCTCATTTCAGAATGAGCCCCAAAATTCAATGCCTAGGAGTTTATCCTTGTTTTAAACCAAAGCATGGATGCTGCTGTAACCCCATCCCATTTAAACCATTTAACCGTTTAAAAAGTTACTGTAACTCCAGAGAAAATTCAGGAATGTACTAGGAAAAGCCAACAAGTAACAATAATAAACATATTCTGGTATCAAAGCATAGTACAGTGAACTGGGAGGTTCCTACGAGTTCAGGAAGCCCCACCAATGGGTCTGTAACAGGAACCTGACCCAACGTTACCAGCCCACAGCAACTGCAGATGCTCTTGACTCCAAAGCCCAAACCAAACCACAGATACCTTCACTACATGAGAACCCACGACTGTAGCCAAGATATAATAGATATCTTGTGTTGGAGGAACAGGATGAGAGTTGTGGCTGAGCTCTCAGACGCAGTAACTTTTGATGTTATTAACAGCACATGCTGCTAATTCACCATGAGATCAAATACAAAGGGTGCTGATGGACTTGAGGATTGAAGCTGTCCATCTCCAAAGTACATGAGGCTCTGGTAACAATCCTTTGTTGTCCTGAGATATATAGCGTTGTCATCTTGCAGAGGAAATACTTTGCATAGGGATGCTTTGCCCCCCTTTTCACCACAGCGCTCCTCATTTCTCATCCCCCTTCTCCAAGTATGCTTCTAGGCTAATTAATACAAGCATTAATTCAGGCTAGGAGGAAAAGCAGCGAATGCTTCCCTGCACCACAAGGGATAAAGGAAATTGCAGCAAATATTGTAAAAGTTAAATAACTGAGAGGGAACAATCATGCAAACAGTAATGAACGTGATGCTCGGTTCAGAGTAGGTCACATGTGAATTCATAGCATCAAGGAGCAACACTGAGCACAAATGAGCCTTAATTTTGTTGGGCATTTGGTGCCACGACAATATATATACAGGATATATATATATATATATACCATAACACTTAGTTTTCCTCCAACATGCATTCTGCACTAGGGATATTCTTTATTTTCTCTGGTACTCCTCCTGCTTTACATCAGTGTGAGCAAGAGCAGAATCAGGCCTCCAGTTAAATAACTAATGCAGCTGTTTTGCTGATCCAGCTTCCTGGCTGGGAATGAATCCAGTCAGCTGTGTATAACAAACCCCCGTAATAGAGATTTCAAAGATTTCATACATTAATGTCTTTTTCCTTAATATTTGCAGAGTTATTTTTCTTACAGAATCTGTTAGGCAGATGTTAGGAAGTAATTACTGTACGTGAATCAGAGAGAAAATGCACATCTCGCCCTGAACATGTGTGAGCGGACCGAGGAAGAAACCAAAGATACATGAGAGAAAAGCTAAAACACATCTGAGCAGAAGCTGCCAGGTTATAGCGGTTATAGGGAACAAATGGCACAAGACAAGCTCTTCCGATGGGCTGTGCATTCATTCTGTATTCAAACCAATGAGCCTGCTACCTTTTCTAGCAGCAGCAGAGTTGTACTCACCATTCATGGGTAGAAGATGAAGTTAGCCCTGGCTGGGCAGGTATAGTTTCCATCAACATCTAAGAGTCCTCCAGGCAATGCCATCAGTAACCAGTGTGGTGGACACAACTAAACGGTTGCGACATGCTCTGATATCCCAAAGCATCCTTAAATCATGGCATGTATACCTGTAAAGAGGACTGATCATATGAGTTAAAACTCTTGCCTCTCTGTGCAGAATGATTGTGATTTTTATATATAAACCCAACCAATCTTGAATTGATGGTGGCAGCAGGAATAACATCCAGGAGATTAGGATAGAAAGCAAAACTGTAGGGAAAATTCTGCTCTGAAGAATGTAGCTATCTGGGCTGTGCTTTTGCCCAGGACACAATATTCCCTACAGCTGGAAATCTGGGTAGTCTTTAACGACTGGAAAAGTTACTGCTTTGGTTGTTTGCAGTGCTCTGATGATAGATTTCCAGATGAGATGAGTTAGCAATGGTATAATTGGGTAAATAAGATCAGTAGCATTAGGAACGGATTCTGCCCTCAGCTTGCCTCCTGCATTGAGCCCTACTTTTCCCTGTCCTGATTTCCCTGTCTAAAACAAAATCTTTACTTTCTAAAGTTCTTTGAAATCTGATGTTGCAAATATAAAATCAGCATTAAATGAAATATCCCAGTAAGTAGTAACAGAAATACTGTGTGGCTCTTACAGCATTTTCCACCACAAGCAGTTAATGCATAGATGAGATTGGTATAATTACCTTTGCGTAGCACTGTGGCTGAACCAACTGAGGCCAAACCAGGAAATGATTCACCTGTGCCATGAAAGCTCCCTTCAGACGCCTTTTAGGGCTTCCAGATTGGGCTGAGTTTCACCCACGAAATCAGTTTCATTCAAAACCTAAATTGCACATCAGTAACTGTGGCCTCTAAAATCCCATCTTGGCGTTTATGAACCTCTACACGGTATAAAAAGAAATGTGACAGAAGGAGTCTTTACAATTACAAAGCAGCCAGAGTGTTTAATATTTCAAGTCTAAATTACAACGTAAACCCTCGTTTTGAGAAGCGCTGTGAAAGCATCGGGGTTGGGTGCATTTTAGAGCAGCATTTGTCATGAAAAAGAGAGCTCGAACAGTCGGGTTGCCAAGGCAGAAACAAGCACCACAGACACGTTTTACCCTTATGGGGATTCATCAAGGTTGTGCAGTGCAGCTGTTGTCTTAGGAAAAGAAAGTAGCAGCCCCTGGCTGGAAGAAACAGGAACATAATTATGTTATGATGAGCTGGAAAACATGCAAAGAAAAATTGGGATGCAAAGGATGATAAATGATGCTTTGTCGATTGCAAAGCAGCAAGAAAACTGGGCTGCACGATAATAACTCTTCTCCAGTCAATGCTTCCAGTTTGGCCACCAAAATAAAGCACCACTCTCACCATGATGGAATAGCTCTATCTTTTGGCTGTATTATTCAGTCCTGGTACAGTGATGCTGAGTTTGTAAAGTAGATTATGCAGTCATCTTTAGTATTAGAAATGAGAAAATGAATGGTAAGGGACTTCTCATAATTAAGACCATAATTCCATGAGGAGAAAATGTATAATGTTGTCTTATTTGGATTTTTATGCATATTAAATTTCAAAGCTTAGAACCTTTGCCTTTAAGAAGCCTTTTACTTACATTTTCCATCATTAAAACCCTGTTTCTACCGTGGTGACCAGCATTTCATGAACAGTAATATGGTTACATGTAGTCATCCAGCATTAAAATAGGAAATGCCATACCATAACAGACTCGTTATCTGTCTGTCCTCACAGTGACAAGGACAGGATTTCCCTTCCAGTGCTGCAGCCATGTGCCTGTCTGGGGTACAAACCACCAAAGTTTATTCTCGTGATGTGAGTGATTCCAGAGGGAAAATTGGACTAATTATATTCCAGCACAGGAAACTTTTATTTAGAAACCAATACTGGGCAGCAGAGATAAAAAGGGACAAGTGGCTATAGAAAACCTTCTCGTGATAAAGGGGAAAACGGCTAAAAATTGACAATAACCCCGGAGAAAGGGAATTTGGCAGGGATGGGCTGTGCCCTCTAGTGCCAGAGACCTGCAGTGCACACAAAGCGAGGGCAGAGGTTCCAGCTTTCATTTTGATTCCCCACCTTTGGAGGATGCCTTTTCTACGTTTCACACTAAGCGTGCCTCAAAATCAGGCCTTAAGAGTCTTGTGGGGTTTGTAATTACAACACACAAATGAACCTCTAAACAAAACATGTGTTGCTTCTGCAATGCAAACCAAGCAGCTCTCAAATTAGCAGCTATGTAGGATGGATCATCTCCTATACAGCAGTTTAAAGGACTGAAACCTATATTCAAGGAGTGTATTTTTAAGGGTGTATTTTTGGTCCTGTCGAATAAGGAGCACAGGCAAGATACTAATCACTTCACTCATACAGCTACCGACTGCAGTCACCGCTTTGTGAGGGACTTCTAATGACAGCATGACTTGCAGAATTCTTATTACCTATAAAAAATCAGCACTATATTTACCTCTAATTATTTACATGTTAAAACCACTTTATTAGCTGACTGCAGTTTGCATCCAGGGGTATTAAACCACTTGTAGCTTAATCTAATAATCCTATTCCCAGCCATTAGGGGAAGTGATGGGCAATAAGTCAGTGGAAGCCTGCACACAGTTTCTGTGGCACTCGGGTACCCCTGTGCTAACCCTTCATCCTTTCTCCATTTCACTTGGCACAGTTGTGAAGAGGTGCATGAGCCTGCAGAATTGCAGACCAATGTCAAGTAGTTATAATTTCTCTTTACATTGTTAAGTTTAACCTGATGAGTAAGATATTGTCCTTTACCATTTTCTTCCTCAATCAGGTTTTGCCTAACACTGAGTTTAGTTTTTGGCTGCAGGACATTAAATAGGTATTTTACAGGAAAACAGAAGCTGTTCATCCCAGCCCCCGCTCCTGCCTCATCCCTGTGCATGGCTTATTCAGGAACACCAACAGCAAAGGCAGATTACACAAATAAGTAAGGCTGAATGATTTGATTCTGGCTAGGGATAAATAAATGAGTACAATAGCCAAAGAGAAGGGCAGATCCAAAATAACGACTCTAAACTGACAGATCAGCAGCATTGGCTGCTTTGCTTTCCACTTGGTTTTAATTCTTCCTCTTCATGCTTCATCTCCCATTGTTTCCCATGTGCTCCCACTTGCACTGTCGGTTGCTCTCTCCAGCTGCTCCCTGACTACTGTAACTGCCAGCTTTTTTCTGCTGGAGCAGATTCTTCCATAGCCACACACCTCGGAGAGGATTTATTGTTGTATCCTCCTACCCTGCTATTTCTCCCCCTTCTCCTTGTCAGCAGAAGTGCTCTTTGTGGTTCTGGTGAGCAGAACCCCAAGCAGTTTAATGCCCACACCCCATCCAACCCCCTTCTCAAACCAAAATCCTCCTTTGCAGCTCAAGAGCATGGCATCATCAGCCAGAGCAGAGGGATCTCAGGCAGTCTGTTTGTATGCCAACAGGATATGATCCATTAAAAATCCATTTTGTGAATGAAAGCCTAATGACAAAGAAAATCCTATACGATTCCTTACCCCACCATCAGAATCACGCCAGCCCACTCTGCTGTCTCCCACCCATCCTACTCTCCCCCTTCTCTCTAGCCCATTCCCTCTCTTCCCTTGCTGTGATAACAAATTTTCACCCCATGCATTTTTTTTCTGTCATTCCAGGGATTTATTTTTTTCCCTAAAATTTGCCTTATTTGAGAGTGTAATCCCTTTATCTATACTCCTGTGGATACACTGGGTGCCAATGGAGACGCTCAAACTAAGCAGGGCTCAGCCTTTAATAAAGCAAACCCCTTTTTCCCTAGCAGGCTTAAGCAATTACTGAGTCAGTGTAAAGATTCACCAAGTCTAATTCTGGTTTCTATTAAGAAGCTGATTTAGCTTAAAGTGTATTTCCAAACCCTATTCCACTCCACCAACACAAGAGAAGATGTTAGAGTCTCATTAATACTGCATGCTGAGACACCCCTTTGATTTCTCCTGAGGAGCAAGTTGGCAATAATTGCTCTCCTAAGCCTGGTGTATTCTTTGCATATCAGCTAGGTGAGTTCTTCAGCCCCAGTACACTTCTCTCAGGTGGCTTTTCATTCACGCCTCAAATTCCATCCAATAATAAGGTAGCCACTCACTCAGCAGCTACTTCTCATTCATTTTTATGATGGCATCACAAGGGAGGATGTACTGCCTGGAGAAGGAATGTCCTCACATTCCTGGGGTCTCAGGGAAGCTGGAGAGACAGGAAGGAGGGGTTGTTTGATGCCCGACTCCTGTTCAGTGGTGGGAATCTGGGCCACAGGCTGGACCACAGTGCTGCTGCCTCCAATATTAACTACATAGAGGTTAGCAGGGTATCAAGGGAGTTATATATCTGGGCTGACCAGGGCAGGCTCCCCAAGACAGGATCTCACCCTCATGTCCCAGCAAAGGTCATTTGCTTTGAGATGCTATTTTTATCCCGAACGTTAGGAAGAGATTTTTCCTGGACTCCCCCCACCTCCCTGTGGCCCTGGGAACTCTGATATTCCCAGCACCGCAGTGGGAGAGGCGCCTGCTCCTGGCATCAGGTTTCAGGGATTCATGGATGGCTGTAGGGAACCAGTGAAGTGCTCCTGGCAGATAAACTGCGAGCAGGGGAAGAGGCTTCTTTCCTTCTTCCTTTTCCTCTTAATCCTGTTATTATCTGATCTGTATCCTTTAATAAATAAATGTGCCCTTGCTTCTTCCAACCCTGATAGCTACTGATAGCTCTTTAATTCTGGCTCTGGCTACTGATAGCTCTTTAATTCCACCCACTGCGTGTAGACAGTAACTGGCCTGGCAGCGAATTGTACAGCTCCCAGGGCTCTGATGAAGACCCCATCTGACCCCAATCTCACTCATTATAAACAACCATAAATGTTGGGTTTGGTTTTTTTTTTTCTAATAGTAGTGGTTGCAGAACATGTAATTTTGCTTTTGCTCTTTATAACTTACCTGTCCACAGGGGGTTCATTTCATATAAATGACACTGAAAGAGGAAAAAATCTGGGTTTGATTTCCTTTTTATATGGATTATCTCGAGGTTTTTGCATTTATTGGTATTATTATTAGTATACTTGCATTTCCTCAGCCTTTGTTCCCAGGGTTGGACTCAGTGAGCAATTGCTTAGCTTTAAAACAGTACTGTTAATAGCTGCCTCTTCTTAAAAAGGCTGGAGACCTCGAAGTAGATGCTGGCATGTAGAAACTGACATTTATAATATTATCCTGGTGAAATGTAAAAGGTCTGAATCTGTGCCTTTAAAATAAACAGCTTAAAAGTGCTCAATAAATGCTAAGCTCTTACTGGTATGAAGTGACATAACCCAGTGTTGGGATGCCTTAGGGCTTGGAGCTATTTTAGCTCTGAGGAACCTTGCTGTGACAATTTTTATGAGCAAGTATCGTGTACCACCAAACAGACCTCAAGTTACACAGTGGCAGCCTATGTGGTGCATGTATCTCTGGTGATGAGGCGCACTATCAGATTAGGGGTGTATAAATTATATACTGTGTTTATACATTGCCTTTCCCATGAAGGAGGGTGCAGAGCAAGGGCCCTGGGGGCTCCTCTGAACTATCTCCCTGGCTCAGTCTTTCCTTGGGTGTCTAAATGCAGGCAGCGGGGTTTGGAGCCACAAAGAGGGGCTGGGGATGGGGAAATCCTCTCTGTATTCAGCCCACAGAAGCCGTCCCCGCTCCGGGGGTCACTCGTGGCAGCCCCAGCCCTGCTGCCCCCGGCAGGAGCCTTTCAGACCCCCCCGCGGCCGGGCAGCCCCGCACTACCGCTGCCGCGGGGATGGGGACGGCTCGGGAGGTGGGGTTGCTCCGCGGGGCCAGAGGACAGCGGCGGCACCGCCCGCCCATCATCCATCCTCCATCCTTCCTTCGGATGCGGTGCAGCCGCCCCGCTCCGGTCCCAGCCCCGCGGGGAGGATGCGTGTGCGGGGCTTTGCGACCTGCGATCGCGTCGGTGCCTGGATCCCTCCTCCTCTTCTTCCTCCTCCTCCTCGTCCCCTCCCTCCCTCCCTCCCTCCCTCCCCGCCCGGCAGCGCGGTGCCGGGGCAGTCGCTCACACACGAGATGGCTCCGCAGCAGGGATCGCGTTGAGAAAACAGGTCTCCCCCTCCCTGCCCGGCCTCCCCCCGCCGCCGCGGCCTCCGAACTGTAAGTGGCAGGAAGGAAGTAAAAGTTGCAAACAACCTGCAGCGGCAGGAACTTTGTGAGCGGCTCCGCTGCGTGTGCTCAAGGTGCCTTTGATGGGCGGGCAGCAGCTTCTGGTTAGTGGACCGCAGCTTCCCCACTCAGCCCTCCCTCTCTCCCACCCTTCCCAGCCTCCCCTCCCACCACCGCCCCTCCAGCCCCCGCACGCGATTTGGTGGAGAAGGGAGGCAAAAAAAGAGAGGGAAAGAAAAGTGATGAACACGAAGGGGTGAATAACCCCAAAGAGCGGGGAGAGGAGCTGCGGGCAGCCCCGGGGCCGCCCGGGAGACCCCGACCCCAAGGCACCCACCCGGGACCGACCCGCGGGCGCTGCGCGGCTGGCGGAGTGCGAGCGCGCCTCCGTAAGCGAGATGCGAAAAGGCTTCTGCTGTGCTTGTGCCTGACTTGCGATGCCGGCTCCTCACTAGAATGCAAACCTTCGCACAGGATGAAAGCAGGTTTGTCGCGAATCCTCCTGGAAACGCCGCGTTCCCCCACCGCCGCCACCTTCCTGTCGGAGATGTCAGAGGAGATCTTAATGATGACACGGTGGGAGATGCCTCTGCTGCGTACCCGCCGCTGGGCTTTGGAGACGTTGAGGCAGAGATAAATCTTTCATGCAGCTGTCTTTTCAGCTCTGTGGCTGCTGCTGCACAATCCGCACTTGATTGCAGCTCCAATATTCTTTTTAGGAGCCGTTTGACAAAATGATGCAAAATAAACACAGATGGGAGAAGTGGGGGAGAGAAAGCTCTAATGAAGTAGCGATGGTGGATTGATTTTCCCTCCTTTCCCCCCCCCCGCCCTCCTCCCAAAATGTGAGGCTTTTCTGGACACAAAATGCTACATTGCTGTTTTAAAGCTGTACAATTTTGGGGGGCTTTTTGGTTGGGGCTTTGGAGGGAGACTCCCATCAGTCGTGCTTGCCTTGCTGGCTGACTTTCAATGTCTGTGGCTGCCAAGCCCGTCGGCTCTTCCTTGCCTTCACCCGGTTTAAAGCATGTCTTGTCTCTTCCAACACCGTGCAGGTCACTCTGCCAGAATGCCAGAGGAAAGTTCGCCAAAGCGGAGTCCTCAAAACATCCCGTACAAGGACCTGCCCCACATCGTCAATGCTGATGGGCAGCATCTCTTCTGCAGGTATTGGAAGCCAGCAGCAACTCCCAGGTGAGCACTTCCAAGCAAATGTCCTTCTTTACCATCAGTAAATAAGACTCTGTCGGTGTAGTTGTTATGTATGGCTCGACTGGTGTTGCAGGGCTGCGTGCACGGAGCCTTACAGAGCCACCAAGGGATTCCTCTCATCTGCGAGAGCCCTTAGTGTAAAGATTGTCTTCTCCAAACCTCTGCTCGCCCGAGTCAGCCTTACAGATGTCAACCATGGAGCTGCTGTCACTTCATGCCCAGCTGCCTTGGCTGGCAGCTCAGTGTGCTGCCGAGTGCCCCACGCAGGTGGCTGATGCCTTTCAGCAATAAACTGCCTTCACATTAATGGCCCAGGCAATCCGGGAGGGATGGGATGCAGGCTCAGGGGTGGATGTCTCCTCCTTCGGACTTTCTCAGTGCGAACGTGTTACACATCAGCACTTGATTTCAGTTTCAGCTGTAGTAGCTGTAATGTCAGGGCAACAGGCAGAATACGGGTTGACAGCATTGATTTTGGCTGCTGTTTGCTTTGGGGGTTAATTATTTATAGTTAGTAAATGACTTAGGGAGCTCTTACACAGGCAACTGATTTCAAAACTGACCTCAGTGCTAATCACAGGGAAGGAACCAGATAGAAAGCTGTTACAGTAAAGGGATTATTTAAATGACACCACCATTAGAGAAATTTCTCTATGCTGATTGTGTGCTCATTACGCTGTGCTGCAGCCAGCCACCTCTGTTCCTCCCATCGTTATGATCTTCTTTCTCCCAGTGCCTGCTGGCTTGGCACGTATTTACGCTACCACTAGTTATGTAGGGAGCTACTTCATAAAAATGGGGATATTGTTTTATTGCTCTCTTTTTCTGCAAGCCAACAGGAAGAGCTGTGTGGATTTTATAGAGCTGGGCAACAGTCACAGGAAAAAGTTGTTCAAGCTGTAGCAGGGAGGTAAATTTTCTCCTTGATCACCCAACAGGTTAAACATCATCCTGTGTCTAAATGACCCTGCAATCGTGCCAAGAGAGGGATATGGGTCCAAGTGAGCTGGCCTTGGGGTTTACGCCTACCAGACTAAGAGGCAATGGGACTAACACAGAGCTGGGAGGTGGGCAAGCACCGAAATACCTGTCCCCATGGGGAGGACAGTGCACTGATTGGGCTGTAGGACACAAGTCTTAGTCTGCAGGGCATTTTATAGCTGCTTCTACTCCCTGCCTTTCAGACAGAAGGAGGAAAGGTTTTGGCAGTGATGCTTTGCATGGTCTTGTGCCAACCGGAATATTTCCTCTAGAGAACTAAAAAAAGAGCTATCAACCCAAGGTTCTGCAGGGAAACCAGGCTGCCTGGTATTCTAATGCTAATTAATCACTGGCTGCCCACAACGGTTCTTTGCCCAGTTGTGGAATTGCTTTCTTCTTTCACATTTGATTTCTTAACAAATCAGTAGTGAGTGGAGGCGTCTTTGATCCAGAAAGGAAAGGATGGGGAAGAGCTGAGAGTTAAAACTTGGTGCCTAAGTCCTGTGGGTAAATGTGGGGGCTCTGTGCACCAAGCAGTTAGCTGGGAGTGAGCTCACCCTGGGTTTGTGACAGCAGCAGTGCATGGACTCCGTGCTGCTCATTTACAAGTGCTTCCTAAGTGCCTGTGTGTGTGTTTGTGTATAGGAGGGGCAGAGTGTTTATTATTAGCTCTTTTTGCATTGTTATGTATGAGAGAGATGCTAAGAGCCTGAATAACAAGTTAGTGCCTGGATCCTGCAATCAGGAATGCTCTTGAAGTGCTTTGATAGACGAACCCGAAATACATTTGTCTCTTTCTTCCCTCTTGCTTTTCCTGCTTTGGATGCAGGAGCTCAGCAACTTTCACCTCGTCTGAAATGTGCAGCAAGAGTGATGTATATATATATAGGGAGAGAAAGAGAGACATCTCAGGGGACTTTCACAGGCCTGTTACCATTTATTTCAAATACCGAAGGCGATTCTTTCAATCTCCTAACTCAATTGTTGATTCAGCTTGAAACCTTAGCGCTAATGAATGATGCTATAACAGTCAAACAGTGGGATCATTCATTGATCCATTCTGTATCTAATCCCAGTCAGGGCACAGAAATACCTCTTCACTGTAGGTGCCCAAATGTTATTGCTTACTTGTCTCCTGTTAGAACAGAACTTACCATCCTCGACCCCTGCCCCAGGGAGGGGAAAAAACAGGATATCTGCCACAGGAAAAATGAAGAAGTAGCCCTGGCCTGGGGTTGAAGAGCAAACAATGGCTGGGGAGGCTCTGAGAATGGGGCTGACCAACAGACATCACCCCTCAGAGCTGGGACTTCTCTTTTATCGCCCCGAATAGACCCACAAGGGTGGGTAAAGGCTGTGGCACTGACCCATGGTGGGGGGTGAAGGCTGGGGCACTGACCCATAGGGATGGGTGATGACCGTGGCACCAGACCCACAGGGATGGGTGAAGGCTGTGGCACCAACCCACAGGGATGGGTATGTGCTGTATGTGCTGGAGCATTTCCAGTTTTATCTTTTCTGAACAATTGGTCAGGAAGATGAGGAATTTCGTGAGGCTCTTTTGCTCCGTGCTCACAAATATCCAGGCTCTGATGCTGTGTGGGGTTGATCTGACTGATCAGCCCATGCTGGTGCACATATGGAAGCTTTGTTGTAAGTGCCACAGAGGCCAAGGTTGTCCTGCGAGTGAAAGGCACCTATTGTGAGTTCCTCAGCAGGGTCTGCTTTGTTTCCAAGAGGGATTTAGGTGATTGCTTCACAGGAAGCTGACACACAAAGGCACTCAGATGTCATGATGATTAGATGGGGTAGATAGAGTAGGTAGTAATGCGACTAAGGAAGGAGGGCGTCAGTATTTTCCACTTGTTTTTCCAGTGGGAACTGAATCCCAACAGCAGAGCTGGGGACTGGGTATCTTCTATTGCTGTCTGCTGGCAGCAGTGCAGGTGAGACTCCCCTTGCCAGCAGCCCTGCAAGCTGCCCGCCTTGTTGAGCCAGTTTCATCTTGAGATGTAATTTGTTGGTCCTGTTGGATGCAGCAGGGAAGGAAGAGCAGTGAGTTCTGGTTTGTGTGTTGTGCCAACAGCAGGGTTTGTAGAGCATCAGAACAGGTAACGGGCACTGATTGCGCACTGGTGAGCGTCGAGCTGAAGATCTGGGCATTTTCAGTCCCTGTAATGTTGTTAGGAGGAGGTAAATCTTTGGTACCAAATCAGACTGATCTCATGCCTATAGCCAATGTCCCAGTAGCCAAGGAAAACCTACTTAATGGGAAAGCAGTCTTTGTGTAAACAAGAACAGCTCCTTGTGAGGTTAAAACCTCTGCTAACACCCTGAGTGGTCTGACCCAAAATATGAGGTAACGGGAGGTGAGGAATTAGGAAACCATTGCTCTATTTCCAGCTCTCAGACAAAGCTGCTAAGAATAGAGGTGGGATGAGGAAGGGGAAGGAAAGTTGGGAGGAGAAGTCAAGACATTTCCTTTGAGGCCCCTCAAGGGCCTGGAGAAGTTCAGAGACAACCTTCTTTTCTTCTCTGTTCCGTAGCCCCATAGCCTTTCTGGATGCTTCAGCTCTTCCTGGCTCTGCCTAGATAAGCACAAACTGCTTGTTCGGGGGCACTTTCAGCCCTTCTGCTCGACCTCAGTTAAACCCAGTGAGATTTATTGACCCAAAGTAGTTTATTCCAAAGGTGCTAATAGCCTGCAGCCACCACTGACTTCAGATAAAGTGATGCTCAGCTCTCCCTGTAGGTCAGCCACTCTAGGCTGGACACTTGAAGCTTGAGACACTTGTAGAGGATGCTTTTGAAGACGTGGGTTCCAGACATCCTTGTATCTGAGCTTCCTTGTCTATCATACAGAAATCATTACCCAGCTAGGTAGCATGAAGCTTGTGTGTCTCCATGCAGTGGTCTCTAGGTGTAGTTAGATGATTTCAACTGGAGTGGTCTGCCTGAGGAAGCTGCCAAGACATGTGTGGGTCACACATGTGTTCCTGGTTAATCATTAATGTGCACTACAACGGGTTGGCTCAACTTCAGACATCACGGTGTAAGTGAACAGAGCTGCAATTGTGTGGGCAAACAGTGGCTTTGGAGGGGTTCTTTCTGTTCTCCACCTGACAAGTGTGATTAAAAATACAACATTCACCAAGCAAAAAGCTTTTCTATTCACTTCTTACCTTTGTTTTACTCTGAAGGATGCCTGTCATTCCTTCTGACTTGTTAGCAGTGAAAGGCCAAGCCAAGAAGGAGAAAACATATTTCTTTCTCCCCCAAGGACTTTGCAGAACTGCCCGTGGTGCAGAAATGCAAACTGCCTTTACGTTTGACCTGGCCCTTCAATCGTGGATATTGCTTGCTGATTCTGGCACCTCCATTGCCAGCATTTCCATGGCAGCTCCAGGAGAACAGCACAGCTCCCAGCGGGAGCAGATGACAAAGTGGAATTTGACTTCCAGCCCCTTCCAAAATGCAGAAGTAAATAAAGAAATGAACCAAAGTGAAGTCAAAGCAAAGGGAATCAAGCCACTAATTATAACATCTTTAATTACAGCGTGGGGTGTTCATCTCTAGGAACACTTAAAGGAGTTTCTAACCCAGTGTGTCTCTTGAAGAACACTTTTGGCTTGTGCTAATGAGGTCAACTCCAACCTAACGCCCAGGAGCAGAGATTTATGTGGTGGGAAGTGACTTATGTCAGCACCGTTTGTGGTAGGATGAACCCAGCTCCTGTGTGTGTGTCTGGTCACATCGTACCCAGTGCAAAGGGGAACAATGGTCATTGTCAGTCTGACACCCCAGGCTTTGCTTGTGTTGCTATTGCCCCTCAGTTTCTAAAGCCCCTCTTCTATTCATCAGCGTGTATGCGTTCCTGTGACGCCCTGTTCTCTTTGCTCCGTGTGACTGCCTTGTTCACTGTGAACGGGGCATCCTTTTGTGATTTCTTATGCATTTCCAGAGGATGGGCAAATTAGCAAACCAGCTTCACACAAGAGGAG